GGACTGATAAAAGAGGGAAGAGTAATGAGTGAGAGAGGGAGGCTGAGAGTTTGAGACGACTTAGATGAGTGACGAGTGAGAGAAAGAGGTTGAGAGTTTGAGATGAGACTCAAACGAGGGAGGCTGAGAGTTTGAGACCAGATGAGAGACGAGTGACGAGTGAGAGAGAGATCTGAGAGTGATGGAGGCACATGAGTGAAGACTTGAAGTGAAGTGAAAGTCTACACTTTGAAGAATGAAGATAAACGCTAACTCTAGTAAAATATATTTATATATATTCGGGTTGAACTCGATTTTAATATTTGGGTTGAACCCGACAACCCGATGCCTCAACCCGAGGCTTGTCCGAATTTAATTTAGGTTGGAGTTTTTTTGCATAGACCCAACTCAAGCATTAAAAATTTTAACCCAAGCCTATTTTTTTTGAGTTGCGCTCGATTGGCCTGCCCAAGTTACACCCTTAGTTTAGAGTCTTTTGGAAATTCCTTTGCTGCGAAACGACGTCGTATGGCATCTTGGGTCTGGGTCTTCGACTTCAACAAAGATGTTACTGATTTTTCCTATGACCAATGACATGCAATGCTGGTGAAGACACAATTCTGCCGAATGCTCTGTTCTCCTCAAATCTTGTGTATTTTGACCCCAAATTACTCCTTGGACAATTGTGATGGAGCTTAGTGTCTAAGTACATTAATTTTCTTATATTTATTGTTTCTGTTAATAAGACCTAGTCTTTAGGGATTAGTTGATTAGGTTTGAATTATTCTCATCCACTTACCACATTCTTAGGATTGTTAAACGTGGGCTGTTTATGCTTTACTTTCTGTTGTAAAAAGGCTTTATACAAGCCAAAGTTTCTATTCAAAAAGAAGTGGCTTTATTCTCCCAATTGAGTGAGTTTCTTGTGCAATCTGTAATCGAGTTTCAACAATTGGTATCAGAGCCGGTTCCGGGGCCTAATTGAGTGACGTTAAGAATCTGTAGAATTCTTAAAGAGAGAAAACAGAGAGTGAAACACGAGAGGAAGAAAAAAAAGAGACAAGGAGGAAAGCTCGAAGTATGGTGGTAGAAGGAAACTTTGTACAACTTGTAATCCCCAGGTTTGATGGTCACTATGACAATTGGGCCATGTTGATGGAGATTTTTCTCCAATCTAAGGAGCACTGGAGTTTGATTGAAGTTGGGATACCTGCAGTTGCAACAAGAATGGAGCCAACTGAGGCACAGAGGAAGGCAATGGAGGATTAGAAATTGAAAGATTTAAAAGTGAATAATTATCTCTTTCAATCTATTGATCAGACTATCATGGAAACTATCCTAAATAAAGAGACTGCAAAGAGCATATGGGAATCTAAGAAGCACATGCTCTGAAGGTCACAGGTGGAGAAAGGTTTGAAGCAAGGGAGGATGACAGAGTTGGAGGTAGAGGTAGAGCTTATGGAGGCTATAGAGGCAAAGGAAGAGGCCGAGGGAAGCAGCCACTCAACAAATCCATCATCGAGTGCTACAAGTGTCATAAATTAGGGTATTTTCAGTATGAATGCTCTAATTGGGAGAAAACTGCCAACTACATAGAACTTGATGAAGAAGAGGAAATGCTCCTCATGTCGTATGTGGAACTTCATAACTCAACAAAAGAGGAGGTATGGTTTCTTGACTCTGGTTGTAGTAACCATATGAGTGGTAATAAGCTTTGGTTTTCAAATTTGAATGAAAACTTTAGGCAGTCTGTAAAGCTAGGAAATAATTCTAGAGTGGTTGTGTTGGGAAAATGGAGCATTAGATTGAACGTTGGTGGAGTGATTCAAGTGATCAGTGACGTGTTTTATATCCCAAAATTAAAGAACAACCTATTGAGCATAAGTAAGTTGCAGAAGAAGGGATTAGCTATACTCATTCAACATAATGTGTGCAAGGTGTTTCATTCTACTAGAGGCTTAATTATGCAAACAACAATGTCTACTAATAGAATGTTCGTGGTGTTAGCCTCTATGTTTCCACAGGAATTAGCTTGTTTTCAGGCAACCAGTGAGAATGATACTCATTTGTGGCATTGCCAGTTTGGTCACCTCAATTTCAAGGGCCTGGGGAAACTGTATTACAAGAAAATGGTCAAGGGCCTACCTCCACTCAAAGATCCTACAAAAGTGTGTGTTGATTGCCTTGTGGGGAAGCAAGATAGGGACTCCATTCCTAAGAAGAGTCTCTGGAGAGCAACGCAAAAGCTGCAACTTGTACATGTAGCAATTTGTGGACCTGTGACACCTGAATCCAATAGCAGAAAGAGGTACCTGCTTACTTTCATTGATGATTTTAGTAGGAAATGTTGGATGTATTTTTTATCGGAGAAGTAAAAAGCATTTGGCATGTTCAAAAGGTTTAAGAGCTTTGTTGAGAAGGAATCTGGTTCATTGGTGTGTTGCCTACACACAGATAAAGGTGGTGAGTTTACCTCGAGTGAATTCAATGAGTTTTGCAATTCAAATGGTATTAAAAGACAACTTATTGCTGCCTATACCCCTCAGCAAAATGGAGTTGCTGAGAGAAAAAAAAGGGACAATTATGAATCTTGTAAGGAACATGTTGTCAAAGAAAAAAGTTCCTAAAGAATTCTGGCTCAAGGCAGTAAATTGGTGTGTGCATGTTCTAAATAGAAGCCCTACCTTGGTTGTAAAAGATATCACGCCTGAAAAGGCATGGAGTGGCATCAAACAATCAGTGGAGTATTTTTGAGTTTTTGGCTGCATTGGTTATGTTCATATTCTAGATGCTACATGAACCAAGCTAGATGCCAAGAGTTTTAAGTGTGTGTTGCTGGGTGTAAATGAAGAGACTAAAGCCTATAGACTTGACAACCCTATTACAAAGAAGATTGTGGTGAGCAGAGATGTAGGGTTTGAAGAAAATGAGAATTGGGATTGGGGAAAGAGCATAGAAGAAGTGAGAGGTGATGTGTTTCAAGTGGGTAATGAAGAAGATACAGAAAAGAATGAGGAGCATAATGAAAGTGACAATGAAATTGGAGAACAAGAGCACGCGGATGCAAGAGCTGTGGGTAGCTCATCTTCAACAAGTTCACTTGGGAGAGATGAGTCTAGTCCACTTGGAGAAAGAACCAGAAGAGCTCCTCATTGGATGGAGGACAGGTGAAGGGTTGTCTGAGGGTGAAGAAATGCACAACTTGGTGTTGTATGCTCCAGCTGGAGATCCATGTACTTTTGAAGATGCATCAAAGTGTTTGAAATGGAGGGAGGCCAGGGACAATGAGATAAGAACAATAGAAAGAAATGGTACTTGGGAGTTGACTGACTTACCAAAGGGAGCCAGGAAGATAGGAGTAAAGTGGATCTTCAAAACAAAACTCAATGAACAAGGTGAAGTTGACAAGTACAAGGCTCGGCTTGTAGCAAAAGGTTATGCACAACAACATGACATTGATTACACTGAAGTATTTGCTCTGGTTGCTAGGTGGGATACAATCAGGTTGATTTTGGCTCTAGCTACACAGAGAGAATGGTGTGTGTATCAACTAGATGTAAAGAGTGCGTTTCTACATGGAGAGCTGAATGAAGAAGTGTTCGTTGAGCAGCCTCAAGGTTATGTGAAGAAGGGAGAAGAACATAGAGTTTACTAGTTGAGGAAGGCACTGTAAGGGTTAAAGCAAGCTCCTCGAGCTTGGTATAGAATAATTGAGACATACTTCATCAAGGAAGGTTTTGAGCGTTGTCAAACTGAGCACACACTATTCATTAAATCTCAAGGAGAGGGTAAGATGTGGATTGTAAGCTTATATGTAGATGACTTGATTTTTACTGGAAGTGATGAAGGTATGCTTGAAGAATTTAAGGCCTTGATGAAATTGGAGTTTGATATGACAGATTTGGGCAAGATGAAATATTTTCTTGGGGTTGAGGTTGTTCAAAACAGTGGGGGAATTTTCTTGGGCCAAAGGAAGTATGTACAAGATGTATTAGAGAGGTTTGGTATGGAAAACTCTAACTCAGTAAAGAATCATATAGTGCCCAGGTGTAAACTTATGAAGAATGAAGATAAAGCTTGTGCTGATGTGACACAATACAAATAAATGATTGGCAGTTTAATGTATCTAACTGTGACAAGGCCTGATCTTATGTATGTTGTGAGTCTAGTTAGTAGATATATGGAGAGGCCAACAGAGTTACATATGCTCATCATTAAATCAATAAATTAAGTCAAATTTTTTGGTTCAAATAACTTGTCCACCTATTGTTTTAATTTTAAATCATGTTTGAACAGTTACCATTCAACTTGACTGCCCATTTGCACCCTTAGTTTTGTCATATTACGGTTTTTTTTGGGCCCCAATTGTCATATTAGTTCTAACTTCTAATTTATGCACCTTTTGTTGCTCAACCTCATGCCTGTTTTGGTCTTTCAAAAAAGTGTATACATCATTCCAATCGGTTATTTCCATCTATTTCAAGTGCCAAAACAAACATTTGTTTCCAATGTGACAATCATGTGAAGAATCAGCGGATGAGTTGTGGTTAGGGGTGAAATGCCACTCGAACCCAGAGCTAGTTGGTTCTCCCAGAAATGCGTTGAGGCACAACAGTTGACTGGACATCTAGGGGTAAAACACTGTTTCGGTGCGAGCCACGAGAGCAGTACCTAATCGAGGCAAACTCTAAATACTAGATATGACCTCAAAATAACAGGGTCAAGGTTGGCTACTATTAGGCCAAAAAAGACATAAAAGTTCAACAACTGGGTAATTTGTCATTCTCGTGCCTCGGACCTTATTCTTCTTTGAAAAAATTAGGGTTTCAGAATGTGAACAAGTGATTCTCAGGTCGTTAAGCTTTTGTATCCTCTATTCTGCAAAGTCGATCATGTTGAAGTCGATCATAGCAAAATCATATATGCGCGGGCAGTCCCAGCAGTGCACGAGCTTCCACTATTGAGGGTATATAGATGGCTAACTATACGCAATCTTAATCCGCATGCACAAATGGTGTTTACGGGACGACAAAATCACGTAGGGATAAAATAAAATTTGCCCTAAATATAACCAACACAAATTACAATTACAAGCGACTAATTCATCTCCAACATCAAAGTAATGAGAACACGGGGACAATATATAGCTTGTAGCAGGGACACAAAGGTACATAACAGGCCGAAGGATAGCATGCAGGAATAATAAACTGGTTGAGACCAGGAAATATTCTTATTTTAGGAGGGTCTTGACGATGGACTTGACATTCAACTTCTTCAAATCTGTGTATGACTGACCACATCCAACGAACATGACTGGTGATCCAGATATATAAACCATCGACAGCGCCGCTCCAACCTACATCATCGACAAAATAGCAGTGATGCAGGGAGCAATGAAAATGCAAATCAAATCTGAAACACCCTATAAACATTCAACATATTCAAGGGTTTCAGGGAAATAAGAATGTCTACCTTATCATCAATGGTATCAAACTTGGTGAGCAGAATTCCATCGATCAATCTGGGATTAGGAGAGGGTGAGAAGTCGGCCAATTTCTGAAACAACCAAGCCACGTTGCTCAATGACATGCAACCAAATAGAATATGACAAAGAACCATACTTGAACACAAATGTCAGAAGTGAACCTGATTGAACTTTGATAGCTGATCAACAGCATCGTTCCCAACCAGTGCCTCGCCAACAAACAGGATCAAGTCAGGATTGTTGATGTAGATAAGCTTTGACAGTGCTCTCATTAGTGGTTCATTATCCTGTAAAATGTGACATAAATCTTTAAAAGCAATCACGGTAACCAGAAACATATAAGGAAACTCAGATAGCCTGTACCAAACTCATAGCCTAAGGTATAATATTTAAGTGCAAGAACTCTTCTTAGATCATCCCAATAAAACCACACATACGGATTCTGGTTCCATGAACCAATCCACATGAAGTCAGCATTTGATGTATACAGAATCACATCAGCAGTTGCAACACATAAAACTTTTGTTGTTTAACATAAAATTTACCTGCATACGACCAGCTGTATCCACAAGAACCACATCAGAACCAATTCGAGTGGCCTCTTGAATTGCTTCCTTCGCTACAATTGCCGGATCTTTTTCATAACCCTTCTCGAATATAGGGATCTGAAAAAGGCAGTTCAGGAGTCAACTACCACAGTCATCGACTATACTTTCCAGCAGTATCCTTCATGGGAAAGGACGCTCACTCATGAAGAGGACAAAAACCTAAGGACATAAAATATTGTCTTAATCCTACCTGAAGTCTACGTGCATGTGTACGCAGCTGCTCAACAGCTCCAGAGCGGAATGTATCACATGCAGCCATCATGACATTGATCTTATGCTGCAGAAGCCAATAAGCCACCTGTAGAGTGACAAATTAAGAATTGATGTTAGATCAAGAAATAATTCTTTTTAACTTTAAATTATATGAGATGCAAAGATATTTGTTGAGCTTCACCTTAGCAAGATTTGTAGATTTCCCAACTCCATTAACTCCAACAAAAACCACAACATAAGGTTTACGCTGTTCCTTGGCAGTATGAACATCTCTTAAAATATCAATGGAGCGTTTGGGAGTCAAGATGCGAACAAGAGCCTCTTCCATTGCTGCCTGGAGTCATCAATTCAATGACTATATGAATCCGTATCCAACTATAAACCATGCAATAAAACAGATATAATTAGGTGATTAGAGGGAAAAATTTCAAGCCCAGATACCTGAACTGTTGAAGATACCCTGGTAAAGGAGGCATGCTTTTTACCCTCAAGACTTGCTGCCACTGATTCGCATAGTTTTCCAGCTATTTCCTCGGCCTGTTGCCACAGTGTGAAAATCCCAGTGACATACTCTCACAACATTGAGAACAACCCACAAATAGGAACTCATGCAGGAAGTAGGCAAAAGATTTGAGAAGTAATAACTACACAAAGTAGAATTCAGAATGAGCCAGAGCAAAAAAAGCATACCACATTCTTAGTCATGAGCCTATCCTTAAGAGCTTTCAAAGCTGGTTCAAGGTCTGCCTTCTCCAAATTTGCCTTCCCAGCAATACTGAGCAGAAAAAGAGCACATTGGAAGTGATGCAAGTATTTAGCAACTTTAATACTTGGAGATGGAAATGCACCAAACTTCTACCCTGATGAGTAGAAGTTTGAAGCAATTCCTTGATACAGATTTAGTAACAAATCCCTTTTCACAACTTCTTCCCTTTTATATTGTCTGTTTTCATATATGCCCCTATATAATTCTCCATTCCAAAAAGCAACAAAACCTAACGCAAAAAATTGCATATCTGTTTCTGCAGAACGCTTTAAACATATGCATGCATTATGCGCTAATCAGTTAAAAAGAAAATCACTTTAAACTTTATAAACCTAAAGACCGAATCACAGCATAACTAGTTGTTAAATGTATATTTGGGAATGCCATTGTTTTATGAGACCATTAACATTCAACCCCAACCACACATCTTCATAATACAAAGTATCCCAGCTGTAATTTCTCAGAGTCACAAGAACAATCTTTCATGTCATGCATCCATATTACAATGGAAAAAAAAACACTTCCTACAACAACCTTGATTCAAAGGTATATCTAATGCATAAGATTTGGTCCACAGTCCAAATGCAAAACCAGAACAATAGCCACACAGATCAACTGTATCTATTTAAGCTATGCATGCATACATGCTTGTATGTGTGTCTGCTCACCTGTATGTGCATGTGTGCAGAAAACGAGAGAGAATGGAATTGCTAAGTCCTACATAAAAAAATATGAATCACCTGTTCTGATGATTTGTCCATGGCAAAAAAAAAAAATATGAACTAATGTGGTTATCTAAAGTGGAAAGAGATCTGAATATTAACACTTGATTAATTTGCTGTAAAGCAAAAGTTAATTGACCATAAGAAGAATAAACAGTGAAGAGAAATGGTAAAAGCAGATTTACCTTTGGAACATGGTTGAAAACCATCCTTTCTTCTTTGTATCAACCTTATGATCCTTCCCTGCTTCCTCTGCCTCTTCACTTTCACTTTCACTTTCACTTTCACTACTGAGAATCTCGTCTCTGTCCATCATACTCTCACCTTGATCCGCTGCCACAACTGCTATATTCTCATCCCCATTCTCACTCACTGGATCTGTAAAATCCAATTTTGACTCTGGAGGTGATTCATCCCAAACCCTATTTTTCTTTGTTACCTTTTTCTTTGGTTCCGGCTTGGAACCCTTGTTAACAATAGTATCAGTTTTCTTTGCACCTTTAGCCCTGAGCTTCTGCAGCTTACTTACATCGAAAGCCCCATTATTTGAGCTCACATTCTCTTTACCATTTACATTAGCTGGTGCAGGATATTCCCCGTTTCCAACATGATTACCATTGGAGTGACCATTTTCCAATTTGTTACCCCTAAAACTATCACCATCCCCACCATCATTCCCTGATTCACCACCACTCTTTTTTTTATTACCTCCCTCAAGACCACCCTTTTGCACTTGCCCTTGCTTCTTACCCAGATTGTTGTTCATAGGCTTACCAACCTGCTTTGATTTCTTCATTTCCTCAGCATGAGCCTCGGCCTCCTTCCTAAGCTGCCGGAATATATCATCAAAGTCACTGTAAACCATCCGTTTCGGATCGTAAATCTCTGAAAACTCTTTCTTCACCATAGCAAGCAAATCATCCACATACAAAAGATGAAGAATCCGTTGATACACCGCAACGAATACAAGTCCAAGTTCATTGTGGAATGTCCATTTGAGAGCATACGAGGCACCAGGAGCATCATAATTATACGATGCGGCACCAGATCGTTCCTCCAAGAGGCAGGACCTGATCAAGGTGTCAATGGGTGATCCCTTAAGAGCATTTCCAAGCTCTTTACATGTCCAGAGGATCAACCCTCCTCTAGTAAAAATGAGTAACTGCTCTAACATGTTTAAAAACGTAACTATATTTTTCCTGCAATCAAAATCAAGCAAAATTCAAATTTCAAAATCATCAATTTAAAGGAAAAAAAAAAGATCTATCTGAAGTAAATATTATCTTCTATTCCAGAGAATCAAATTTCAAAGATTATGAATGAAAAAAATTCAAATAGAGTCTCAATCCCATCAGACAAACACACACCAGATAAAAGAATGAATTGGAACATTAAATTTACGATCCCAGCACACTCAGAAATACGACCTCGCACAAGCAGATAGACCGATCTACAAAATTTTCACTCATTTTACGATCAAAACCACAAAAAGCTTAAGAACCTTTTCTATATTTCTTCAGCAACCAAACAGAGCGCAAGCTGGTTTTAATGAAAATTCTAGAATTCAAATAAAATTGATAAAAACCAGCGGTTAATACATTTTCCTATATATTCTAAGCAACCAAACAGATCGACAGCCTCGTTTTAACACCCAACCTAAAATTCAAAAAAAATCAAATAAAAACTCCCCAACTCTAGATCGATTGGAATGCTCAGAAATCTAAGGAAAAACAAAAAGACAAAATTAAGATCTACAGAAAATACCAACAAACTTCCCAATTTCTTCAACCCTAGAATTCAAACACTAGAATTAAAAAAAAAGGTTTTGATATGAAGGGAAAATAATAGAGACGTACCTGTCTTTTGTTTGGGAACGTGAATAGTTCTAAGAAAAGGAAAAGGAAAAGAAATTGAAAAAGAAAACGATGGAAAAGAGAATTGAGACTTGTTGAGAGCGAATATGCCGGCGTGCTTTGGTGAAAATTATTTATAAGTGACGCGTTTGGGTTTGGACGGTGTTTGGGTTTTGACTAAAGTCGTGTTTGGTCGGCCAAATTATGAGAATCCCGACAATAAATACACGCCAGTTAAAAAATCCTTTAGGAAGCATTAATAATTTTATTCAAAATATTAGGGTCTCTTTAATTTGCGTTTCAAAAAATAGTATTCAAAAATAATTTTTGAGAAGAGTTTTAAGAAAGTGATTTTGATATTTTTTGAGATAAAAAACTTGTTTGGTTAGATGATTTCAAAAATAATTTTACAATACAGAAAATAGTAAAACCTGTTTGGACCATGGTTCAAGGTATCAACCAAGGCCGATATGACTCGGCCGAGTTTTATCCGACTCGGTCATTGACTATCCGATAACGATACACGAATCGCAAGATTGACGATTTTTAATAATATCGGCGATATCTCAGACGTCTCCTATCAGAATCTTTCGATGATATCTCGAACGTCTCCATGGTTCAATAGTGTCAGTGATAAATCGGTTCAACTTGGATGACTCCTATCGAAATCTTTCTGAGTCGAACATGACAGTGAAAAAATCCCCCCATATCTGCGAAAAAGTCCAACACCTGTGTCACCCACACCTTTGTAAAAGTTTAAAACTCTCAATCATTTTTATGAAAATTGAACAAAAATCCAAAAAAAAAAGGAGATGAGAAATAAAGCAGACTCACTATCAGTAAACCCATGTGAAAATTGTAGAAAACACATGAACCTTGAAGCAACAAACCCCTATAAAAACCAACAATACTAAGGATTCGACATACCTGTATTGTTCTTCTTCTTCATCTGGTCTTGTATTGTTTGATTATTTGTTGAGACGATCTTCTTCGGTCTCTGTCAGTGAGGGACCGTGGTCGTCTCTCCGTCTGCACCTTTCTTTTTCTTTCTTTTGTTATGACTGAGAAGTGAGAAGTGAAATCTTCATCTGAAGAGCTCTGAACCAAAGAGGTAAAGTGAGTAGAGAAAGCAATAAAAAACTCTTTAAAAACTGTCTGTATTTTTTTTTTGTTTTGGAACTGAGTGTTTATATATTTATATTTGTCTTAAAGGAGTTGATAAGTGGTAATTTGCAGGTTACTGGTTCGACTCCTCCAAGACTCCAACATGCTGTTTTACATTATATTAGTTGCAATTACATTTTGTGTTTATATATGTATATTTGTCTTAAAGGTAACGTAGATGTGGTAGTTCAATTGGGTGGAGTTGCTAAGTGCTAAGTTACGGGTCACTGGTTTGACTCCTCCAAGGCTCCAATATGTTATTTTACATTATTTTAGTTACAATTATATTTAAATTACTCTAGAGAGGCAGAGATGCACTTGGATTCTATTTCTCCAGAGATACAAATGTTACAATTATATTATTTTTATATTTAAATTACTTATTTATTGAATAAGTATTATAAGTATTGTTTTTTAAAATTATAACTTTAATGTAATAATTAGATACATTAATATTTTATAATAATAAATGAGTGAATATAAGTTCTATTTTTTTATTTATAAAAAATATATGTTATATTTCAAACTGTGTAAAATTAAATGTTACAATTACATTTTTTTTATATTTAAACTATTTCAATCAATTGCATGTTACTTATTTAATTATTTGAAATTTGTGACATTGTAAAATGACTCCTAAACAACACGACATTGGTTGAAAACACGCAAAACCTATTGGTGGGGATCAACGAATTACAAAGTGCAACTATTGTGGTAAAATAGTTTATGGTGACATTACTCGAATGAAATAACATATTGCACATATATCCGACTAAGTGGAAGGATGTCCACATGCACCAAAAGAAATGTCACAATTCTTGAGACAACATCTCAATGATAGTAGTAAAGAAAGGACTTCTATAAAAAAGAAAAAAGAACGACTTATACAATCATTACAAGATAAAATTTTTTATAACCTGGATGATGATGATGATGGTGAGAATCAAATTGAAGAGGGTGATTTTGAAAGAAGACAGTTAAAGTATGCAATGAAGGAAAGTCGTCACATGGACAAATGGCTTGGATGGAAAAAGAGGGTTGTAGGCACTCTGTATCACAATCATCAAGCTCAGGAATCAAGCAAGGACCGCCATGTAGCTACAGCGTAAAAGAAGGTGTCAGTTTGCCTGTAAGTGGCATTGATCCGTACATGTTTCCGTCTAAACAAAAGTCAGTAAAAGGCATGTTCTCAGGTGAGAACCTGAAAAAGTGGGAAAAGCTATTGCGAAGTTCTTCCTCTTCAATGCAATACCATTCAATGCAGCTGATAGTAGCCCTTACTATCAGTCAATGATTAACACTATTGCGGATGCAGGCCCAGGAATAAAGAGCCCCACAGGATATCAAATTGGTAGTTCTTATTTGGAGGAGGTTCAAGAGCTTGACGTGTATATATCCTCGATGAAGGTAAAATGACTTTAGTATGGTTGCACAATCATGTCTGATGGGTGGAGTTATAGAACAAAAAAAATCATTATCAATTTTATGATTTATTGTGACCGTAGTATGATTTACGATACTTCAGTTGATACCTCAAATATTTTAAAAACTGCTGACTATATTTTCTGTCTTATGGATAAAGTTGTTGATGAAGTTGGATAAGAAAATGTAATACATATAGTAACCAACAATGAGACAAGCTTTAAAGCAGTTGGTAAGATGTTGATGGCTGAAAGGAAATATCTATTTTGGTCTCCTTATGCAACTCATTGTATCGATTTGATGCTAAAAGATATTAGTCATATGAAAGCAATCAAGAAGACCATAGATGATGCTAAGACGATTGCATCCCTTATCTACAACAGCCTCAAAGTGGTCAACTTAATGAAGTAACATACTAGAGATAAAGATTTATTGAGGTCAGGTATAACACGATTTGTCACTGAATTCATCACCATTGATAGTCTTATTCGTTATGAATTGAACTTGAAAAGAATGTGCACCACTGATGAATGACGTGAATTCAACAAAGACAAGAAAAGGAGAAAAACAAGAGATATATTCTCAAACCTGATTTTGACTGACCAATTTTGGAAGAAAATTAGAGAAGTTCAATCCATCATGGAGCCTCTTGTTAGGGTCTTAAAAGATAGTTGATCAAGACAAAAAACTGACTTTATTAATTGTCTATGAGGCAATGGACAGAGCTAAACTAGTCATACAACATTCAGTCAAAAATTAGAGAAAATACTAGGTCGTGATTGACAAAAGATGGGAGACCCAATTGCACAGACACTTGCATGCAGTAGGTAAAAGTATTTAAAAATATAATTTTTTTTATTGTGTATTAGCTTGTAAAGTATTATAGTTTTCCACTAACTTACATTAAATTGTCAAAAAATTTGCAGCTTATTTCTTAATTCCATTTTTTCAGTATTCTAAACAATTTTTCGATCATCCTGAGGTAAGATCTGGTTTGAAAGAGGTTATTAAAAGATTGAAGCCAAATTTAAATAAACAAGCAAGGGCAATGAATGAGGTATAACGATTTTTGATAATATTTATTATAATATGTATATGTATTGGTCGCATACGTAATACATTACACAATAAATTACAGATCAAATTATATATTGACAAACATGGGGAATTTGGAAATGCACTAACTAGGAAAGCTGTACATACCTCCCTTCCAGGTTTATTATTTAAAATATATGTATTTATTAAAATATTATTTGTTACTCTTATGGACAAATACTAATATTGTACATTTTTTTTGTAGCTGAATGGTGGATGAATTATGGTGAAGAAGCTCCCCATCTACAAAAAATTACAATCAAAGTCTTTAGTCAAACATGTTCATCATCAGGGTGTGAAAGAAATTGGAGTACGTGGTCGTTGATCCATACAAAACTTCGCAATCGACTAGTAATGAAAAAGCTACATAAGTTAGTTTTTGTGCACTACAATATGCGGTTTGCGAGTTAAAAATTTGATATATCAACGTGAAAATGATGATTTTTATAATCCAATTGATCTAAACTATATTTTTAATGATGATGACATATTGGATGAGTGGATAAGAGAGGGGGAGGAACCAATTTTACCACCTGATAACTTAGGTTGGCTGGATGAAGGTATTCGTGACATTGAAGAAGGTGGAAGTAAAAGAGATGCAATTGATGAAGGTGACACTAATACGGCTCCAACATCTAGCAACTATGCCACTACCAAAAGATCTGAAAAAGACACGAGATCAACTAATAAGGGTAAAAAGGCTATGAGAATTTTTGTCAGTTCTAGTAATTCTTCTTCTTCTTCTTCTGATGATGATAATGATAATGTTGCTGATACTTATGGTGATGGTAGTACTACTGATGATGGTGATGCTAGTAATCATGGTGGAGATAATGATGAGGGCAACAAGAGTGGTGGTGGAAGGATTACTGGAGATGGTAGTGATACTCAACTAGCTGGCAGTATGTCATGGGCACAGGGTCAAGACAATTATTATGCCACACAGGATACATATCATGGATATCGACTAGAGGCAATGAAACAACGGAGGAATTTAAACTCTTCAATTGGTGATAATTATTCCAATAGACGCCACCATCATTCCCTTGGTCGGCAAGATATTGATGATCATATGCAGAGTTTGAGATTGACATCACATGAAGGATACATGCCTTATGGACATCATCAAAGTAGTGGTATAGAATCTAACTATGCACATGGATCATATGGATATGGTATCCCTTCGCAGCTTCCGAGATCTACTAGTACTCATAGTGCTAGGCATTATGGTCATCGCCCTACGCATCTTGAGAGATCTACTAGTGCTAGTACTGGTGGCTACTATGATCGTGTTCCAAGGAGACATCATGATGGATCTTCTAACACGATATCAGATACTGTCAACTTATATGGACATGATTAATCTTCTGCTAGTAGTGGTCGTGAATATCGTGGTTTTGGATATTATCAGCATGAGAACCAGCCAGTACAACCTCCATAGTCATACTACTCTGATTATGGGTCATCTAGTCAATCAACTCAATCA